GCTGTTTCGCGTCCGATGCGCCGTTGAGGCCCAACAAGGGCACAAGTGGGCTCCAAGATGCGATGTTGACTACTCGTGGGGGGGGTAGGGGAAATCGGGATCCCCCCCCCTTTCTGGATCGACGGCCCCGAAAGTGGCCCCACGATGCCCCCCAGGACTCTCAAAGCTTCAACAGGGCCCCCAAAGGGCCTCAAGCGGGCCCCAAGACCCCTCAAAAGGACCCGCAAGAGGGCCCCACGATCCCCCAACGGAGCCCCTAAGAGGGCTCCAAGAGGCGATGGTGAGGGCTCTGTCCTCGTCCTCGTTGTCCTCCTCCTCCTCCTCCTCGTCCTCATCCTCGTCCTTGCCCTCATCGTCTTCCGTTTCCTGTTCATCCTCTTCCTCGTCATCGTGGTCGTCGTGGTCGTCGTCGTCGTCGTCGTCGTCGTCTTCTTCCTCCTCCTCCTTCCCTCGCCCCTGCGCGGGCCCCCGCAGAGGCCCTCCAAGGCCCCCCCCTTGCTCCAAGGGATGTCTCAGGTCAACATGGCTGCCCGCTCTGCTTGACTACGTGCGTATCGTTGCCCGTTCCCCGTCAACTCTCACGGGTAGTGGCTTTGAACGGGATGGCGGGGATACGCCAGGCGTGAATAACTCATCATCGGCAGCATCAGCAGCACCATCATGCTCCATAACCTCATCACCGTCGCAGGAACAGAACATGGATCGGCATCGCCACCACATTCAGCATGAGCACCAGCAACATGATCATCATTGCCACCGCCATCACATCCGCCGCCATCATCACCGTCGCCAGCACCGTCGCCAGCATCAGCAGAGTCATCATCATTTCGACCATCAGGTACAGAGTCGCAATTGGCATGGAAACAATCATGAGCGTTGCCGACATCAACGTCAGCACCATTGTTGTCACTATCAGCAAACCATACATCGTCATCATCGTGGTCGTCATCATCATCATCATCATCATCATCATCATAATCATCATAATCATCATAATCATCATCACCATCGTCATTCACACCACCACCATCATCAATAGCATCACCACCGCCGCCACCACCACCACCACCATCATTATCATCATCATCATCATCATCATCATCATCATCATCCAGCATCATCGTCATCAGCAGCATCATCACCATCATCCTCATCATCGTCACCGTCCGCAACAACATCATCATCATCATCATCATCATCATCATCATCATCATCATCATCAAACATCATCATCATCATCATCATCATCATCATCATTGGCAGCATCACCATCACCATCCTCCAGCTCAGCATCACCAGCATCATCAACATAACCATCGCGATCATAATCCTCATGGCTATCGTCTGCCGCATCCTCCTCCTCCTCCTCCTCCGCCTCCTCCTCCTCCTCCTCCTCCTCCTCCTCCTCCTCCTCCTCTCCCCCGTGCCATAGGTGAGCACGGCCCCAGAATTGAGTAGGACGCACGGGGCGACCTGTAAGGAGACACGCAGTCTCCGATGAGCACCTCACTTGAGCTCGCTGGGGTTCCGCCACCGGGGCGACACAAGCCAAGGGGGCTGTTCGGGCTGTTCCCTTAGCCGGAAGGAGCCCCCCTAACCTCCTTTCTGGTGCTGTGGTGCGCCACCAGGGCGCCAAAGCAAAGGGGGGTCGTTCGGGCTTGGCCTGAAGGACCCCCCCAAACGGAGCTTTACCGCCCCGCGGGGCTGTTCGGGCTTTCCCCTTGGCCCGAAGAAGCTCTCTTTACCTCCTTTCTGGTGCTGCGGTGCGCCACCAGGGCGCCAAAGCAGGGCTGGCCCGAAGGACACCCCCATGCGGGGCCTCGCTGCCCCGCGGGGCTGTTCGGGCTTTCCCCTTGGCCTGAAGAAGCTCCCCTAAACCTCCTTGCTGGTGCTGCGGTGCGCCACCAGGGCGCCAAAGCAAAGCAGGAGGAGCGGGGGGGTTCGGGCTTGGCCCGAAGGGCCCTCCCCAAGCGGGGCCTCGCCGCCCCGCAGGGCTGTTCGGGCTTTCCCCCTGGCCCGAAGAAGCTCCCCTATCATCTTTCTGGTGTTGTGGTTCGCTGCCATGGCACCGAAGCAAGGGGGGGTTGTCTAGGCTTGGCCCGAAGGAGCCCCCCGAACGGGGCTTTGCCGCCCCGCGGGGCTATTCGGACTTTCCCCATGGCCCGAAGAAGCTCCCCTTAGCCACCAGGGCGCCGGAGCAAGGGGGGGGGTTATTCGGGGTTGGCCCGTAGGACCCCCCCCCTCAAACGGGGCCTTCCTACCCCGCGGCCAGGGGTGCTCCTCGGGCTGTTTGCTTGGCCCAAAGAACCCCTCCAAATCTTCAGGGTCTACGTTCTCCCCATGCTGCGGGGTTGCGTCACGGTACGCGAGCTCTGTGCTCGGCGTGGTTGCTCACTGCGTGTGTTCGGCATGTGTGTTCGCCCGATGTGCACGCGTGCCCGGCCCTGACGTTCTGTATACGTGCTCTGCCCGTGTGCTCCCGATGCTTGCCCATTATGTGCTCAGAGTCTGAGCCGAGACTGTGCTCCAAGCACGCGTGTAGGTTTCGAACGTGCAATACCATTTTTTGGAGGGGGGTGCGTTGTGCTCGGCGCGTGGCCCGTCTGCTCGGCATCCGCGCTCAGCACTCTGTCTATACCAGAGACACGCCGACACCAGCGGGCGGTTGTCTTCTTCGGGAGGGAACTTTCGCTTCGGTCTCCGCTTGGACCCCTCCAGTGAAGGCACTGACTGAGAAACTACACACATGCTCGGGGACGTGTGCTGGTGTGATCGCGCGTTTCGGCGAACGCACGCGCGGAATATGAAGCCGCACCCACAAGCCCCGACCACGGCCAGTACACCGAGCGCAGAAGCGCACGACTGCACACATCCACATCCCCGTGGCCACAATCTACATGTTCATTCGCACGTGATGTTTCTGCCGAGCGCGCGCCACTGGAAACGGGACACCGCGCACGCGGTTGCGCGCGCGTGCTCGTGACCGGTCTCTGGACGACAGGGTCACATGGGCCTTCTCCTCATGCCGCTCTAACTCACAGTGATACTCTCAGGATTGGGCAGAGGATGCGGCTGGGAGAGTTGGCGGTGGCAGAAGAGTCAGACGTTATCGTGGGCACGCGCTGCCTGGTCTTACCCCAAGCCTCCTTGAACCTTTTGTGCGGTCCCACCCTTGCGGCTCAAGTGGCGCGAGGGGGTGGAGGGGGCGATTTGTTAACGCCCTGGCCTACCCAAGACATTCCCTACTCTGTCTTCCTACTTTTTGTAGTATTGCGTCTGTCCCGGCTGCGTGGCCGATATCATTGGGGGGCGAGGTGTCAACGTGCACGGATGGATTGGTGCACAACAAAAGTCGAAACCCATGCGACCGAGTGCAAAAATCCACGGTCCGCCATGGAGCCGGGTGGGATTTCCCATCGGCCGCGACTCGGCATTGCTTTCCAGGGGACGCCCTATCGCGCCCTTGCGTCGGCTGCGCCTCGCCGAGAGCATTCCGGAGTACCTGTGCGCAAAAAGATACCACCCTGGACGTCTCGCACGAAATGATGCTCCAGAGAGGCCAGCCGACTTGGCCGTTGTGCTGGCCCCAGGACTTCGTTCTGAGCCAGCCTGTGGCTTCCCCTGGCTGCGTCCCCCTCAGAGCGCGGGAGCATCGGTATTTGATTTGTCCCTGTGTCTTGGAGCGGCTTCTGTCCCATGGAACTGGGGCGGCCCTCGAACCGCACCCACTGTGGGACTGATCCTAGACACCCTCTGGTCCGGAAATCTTCCCTTCTGCCCGTCCTATATGCAGCAGATTGCGTTGTGAGGGCTGAGGGTGAGGGCGGGCAGTTGCCGCCAGAGGAAGGAGCATCCGAGGTATGCCTCTCAACAAGGTGATGTGTTTGACATTCGTGCTGCGGTTGGCCGTCTTGCGTGTGCAAAGGGTTTCTTACTCCAACTGCCGTGGGATAGCAAGTGGGCAGACACGCCCCCACAGCAGATAGGCCAGCAATGCCAAAATCCGAGGTCGGCTTATCAACAGGGCGATGGACCAGATAGCACCCAAAGTCGCGACGCAACGTAAATGTCACAAATTTCGGTGCCGCGCCCGAGGGGGTAGTCCTCGACAGTTGAGCCCCAAACAGCTCGATCAGAGCGGGGGGGATGCTCCAAATCCCCGTCGAAGGATTTGGCATCCGATCCCGAGGTATGGCCGAAAGCTATAAGTGGAGTGGAAAGATCCTTCACAACGGCTTGCAAGAAAAACGGATACATGGACCCACGCTGGTATCAGCAGGTGGCCGACATCTTTCTGCAATACCTCCGACTTTGAGGATGTGCGTGCGGTCGGCCAACTATTAGATTATGTACTTCTCGCAGTCGCACAGTCTCCGGCATTTCGTCGATAGCCACCTGATCATTACAGACAGGTTTAAGTACCCTTTAAGCTTATAGCGTGCCGTGGTTATCCTCCTCCTCCTCCTGCTCCTCCTGCTCCTCCTGCTCCTCCTCCTCCTCCTCCGACCCCATCCTCCTGCTCATCCTCCCTCCTCCTTCTCCGTCCCGAACGTGTCAACGTCCCTGCGGTGCTGAGCAGCTCGCTCACCCCCGCCCCGCACGCACCACTCACAGCCGCGCGATCGTCGACCCCCCCCCCTCCTTCTCGCACAGACCCCGGCCTTCCCGAGCTTCCTCGCTTCTCCCCGCCGCCTCCTGCCCGCGAGGGTGAGGCTGGGGCCCCTGTGGGTGCGGCCTCGTACTCCACCCCCGCATTTTCTTTCCAAAACCTCCCCCAGTCCTCCCCTCCTCCGCTTTTTATTCCCCGCCGCCCTCATCCCACACACCCTCTCCTCCAGTCCTCCTCCAGCTGATGATGCTCCTCCGCCTCCTCGCCCTCCTCCTGATCCCCCTTCGCCTACTCCTCCTCCTCCTCCTACCCATTGCTTCTTCGCCTCCCCTTCACCTTCAATTTCACGATATGAATACTACTCCCTCCTTTTCTTTGAGAGTGTTATGTTCCACACCGTAAACGATGGGCAAACATCTGAAACTGTCATTGGCGGATCGAGCTCCCCTAGGACACCTCAGTCGGCGGATGAACAAGGATCCAACGCAATGGGATGGGATGGGATGGGGTGGGTTGGAGGGGTAGGCTGTCGGATGTGGCGCGAGTGCGGTTAGCTTGCCGTTTCCGCCTTGCCCCCTACTTACCCGATCCCCTCCTCGATTTCCTTTTCATCATCCTGGACCCCATCCTCCTCGTTTTACTCATGATCGAATTTCCTGCTCCGTATATGCCTCCCTCCGCCCCTCCTCATGTATGAAACGATGGGGTCCGTCTTGAAGTCGAGCTATCCTAGGACACGCACACGCGTTCTCGGATAGAGAAAAACAGCTGGGAAGGAATGCGTGAGAGAGGTCGGATGCCAGATACTGCACGAGTGCAGCTACCTTGCCCCTTCACCGGTCTCCCCGCATCCCCTTCATCCTCCCTCCCTCCTCCACTTACCCATTACCCGTTTGGCGGCCGCGTGAGTACCCCCGCGGTTCCGCCCCCGCCCGGGCCTCGCGGGTGATGGATCCTAGAGTATCGCCGACGCGACCGATCGGGCCCGAAAGCCCCTGGCCGCCCTGCGGAGACTCCTCCATGGCCGAGGCGCAGGAGCGCCTCCTCACTCCTCCTCCTCTGATCCTCCGCTGACCCTCCCCCAGAATGCACGAACCGCAAGCAGCCGGGTGATGCGCAGGCGCCATGAAGCGCCGGCCGGGAGAGCCTCGGCCCGCTCCCTCCGCGCCGTCGTCATCTCCGTCTGGGCCGACGCGATGGACGCCACCTGCTTAGAACGTTCCTTCTCCTCTTCATCCTCCTCCTCATTACCCTCCTCTTCCTCCTCTTCCTCCTCCTGCTCCTCCTGCTCCTGCTCCTCTTCCTCCTCCTCCTCCTCGTCATATCATGCCTTGCTATTCTACCCGTGCCTGGCCTGTGGCTCGCAATCGCATTGTTGATGAAACATAAGGGTTGCTGCCACCACTGACCAATATGTTCAGAATCGCATCAACGCATCCACGCTGGTATTCATACCTTCCTTCCGTACGGAACAAGTCCTCGCGAAGGTCGGCAAGATTCGCCGCGTGCTGGGTTGGTGGGCGGCGGGTGTCGGGCGTTGCATCATGGGGGGCGATCAATAGGGGGGAAACCTGTACCTTTCGTGCCCCTTTTGGGCCCCAGGGGGCCCTTCACGGCCCCTTCACGGTACAACATATGCTCATTGATTGACCCCCCCTTCCCGAACCCCCGACGTCACGTTTTCATGAATCACTTTGACCCCCATATGTCAACGAGGGAGCGATACCCAAGGGACAACCACTCAGCTACCGAGGGGTGGTAAGCCGACAAGGAGGACCCCCCGCCCCACGAAAGAGGAATGGGGGGGCAAGGAGGAGCACCGTCCCCTCCCGAGAACTCGGATTTCTTGTTCTCTTCCTCTTCCGCGCGGAGAGAGGAGGAGCAGCCCCCCCGCCAGAACTCTGGTCTCTTGTCCTCTTCCCCCTTTTCCGCGCGGGCAGAGGAGCACTCCCCCTCTCCCCAGAACTCGGATTTCTTTTATCTTGCCCCTTCCGCGCGGGCAGAAAAGGACCCCCCCCCAAGAACTCGGATTTTTTTGTCCTCTTCCCCCTTCCACGAGGGCAGAGGAGGAGCACCCCCCCCCGGACTCCGATTTGTTTGTTTCTCTTCCCCGTTCCGCGCGGGAAGAGGAGGAGCTCACCCCCCCGACTCGGACTTCTCTTCTCTTCCCCCTTCCGCGCGGGAAGAGGAGGCCTCCCCCCCCTTCCCTGATCTTTCTCTTTCCCTCTCGCGCGCCGGAAGAGAAGCCCCCACCCCTCGCCTACAACGCGGATTTGTTCAATCTTCTGTCTTCCGCGCGAGGAGAAGGCAAGCCCCCCCCCACTCCTCATAACTCGGATTTTGTCTCCTCCCCTTCCGCGCGGAGAGGGGGATCTCTGCTCTTCCCCCTTCCGTGCGGGCAGAGGAGGAGCCCCCCCCTCCCCGGACTCGGAGTTCGTTTCTCTTCCCCCTTCCGCGCGGGGGGAGGAGGACCACCCCCTCCTAGTCGTTGTCTTCCCCTCTCGCGCGCCGAAGGCAGAAGCCCCCCATCCCTCCCCCTTCCCCTAGAACTCGGATTTGCTGTATCTGCTCTCTTCCGCGCGGAGAGAAGGAAAGCACCCCCTCCCCCCCCCAAAACTCGGAAGGAGGGGGTGCTTCCCCTCTCGCGCGCCGGAGAGTGAGTACGCCCCCCTAGAACTCGGATTTGTTGCATCTTCTCTCTTCCGCTCACGGAAAAGAAAGCCCCCCCTCCAGAACTATGATTTTGCCCTTCCCTTCCGCGCGAGGAGAAGAGAAGCCCCCCCCCTCCCCCCACCTCTGCGCCAGACTCGGTTTTTGTTTCCCTTCCCCCTTCCGCACGGGGAGAGGAGGAGCCCCCCCCCCAAATATTATTTCTCTTCCCCTCTTGCGCGCTGGAGGGGGAGCACCCCCCCCTCCCTCCCAGAACTCGGATTTGTTGCATCTTCTCTCTTCCGCGCGGGGGGCGGGAAAGTCCCCCCTCCCAAGATCTCGGAGTTCTTTTCTCTCCCCCCCCCTTTCCGCGCGCCAGAGAGGGAGCACCACCACCCTCCCGGGATTCGGATTTATTTTCTCTTCTCCCTTTCCGCACAGGGAGAGAAGAAGCCCCCCCCGCTGGAACCCCGATGTATTCTCTTCATCTTCCGCGCTGGCAGAGGATGAGGCCCCCCCCCTACCCACCCAAACTCGGATTTCTTGTCTCTTCCCCCTGTCCGCGCGGGGAGAGGAGGAGCACCTCCCCCCTGAGTAGTCTTCTTCCCCTCTCGCGCGCCAGAGGGTGAGCCCCCGCACCCCTCCCTAGAACTCGGATCTGTTGCATCTTGCCTCTTCCGCGCATGGAAAAGAAAACCCTTCCCCCTGAACTCGAATTTGTTCTTTGTCCCCCTCCGCTCGCCGCAGAGGGAGCACCGCCCACTCCAGGAACTCGGATTTTTGTTCCTCTCCCCCCTGCCGCGCAGGGAGAGAGGGGGGGCACCCCGCCTCCACCCGGAACCTGGATTTCTTTTCTCTGGCGCAAGATGGCTTAAAGACCGCCCGAGAAGCCTCCAGGACGGCCCAGGAGGGCTCCAAGGGAGCGCCCATCAAAGTCCGAGGAGGACGGAAAATTAGATATGTCCGTCAGGTTTTCGAAACATGTTCGCATTCTCACCTTCCCGAGCTCCCGTCCGCTCAAAACGACCCAGGAAGCCTCCAAGATAACCCCTCGACGGCCCAAGACAAGACCTCAAGATAGCCGAAGAGGTTTCCAAGACGGCCTCAACGCAGCCCAAGAGGGCGCTTGGACAACCCGGGACAAATTCGAGAGGACCCCCCTGAAAACCTCCGGAAGAACCCAAAACGGTCGTAGTACACACCTGGACAAAACCAGACGGCCCCATGACGGTGTCCATCGAACCCCCAGACGGTCACGACAGCCCCAAGACAGCCCACAGACGACCGAAGAGGGCCTCATGACAACTCACGAGGGCTCCAAGGGACTCCCAAGAGTGCTCCGCAGGAGCGCAGAACAGCCGAAAGACGGACGAAATGAAGTCCATGTGGCCCTTGCGGAAATGAATACGAAAGGTACCACATTTGACGGTGTTCCTTTTCGTCGTCCTCCTCCTCCTCCTCCTCATCACCATCATCATAATCATCATCCTCCTCCTTCTAATCCTCATCATCATCAGCATCGGCATCAGCATCAACATCATCATCATCATCATCATCATCACCACCATCATCATCATCATCATCATCATCATCACCACCACCATCATCATCATCAAATGTATCATCAGATGTATCATCATATTTATCATCATCGCCATCATCATCACCATCACCATCATCACCATCATCATCATCCTCGTCGTCGTCGCCGTCATCAACATCACCACCGCCATCATCGCCCTCGTCTACCGACGTATCACCATGACCATCATCACCTCCGCCACCATCTTCACCATCGCAACCATCATCACCATCACCACTTTCATCATCACCACCACCATCATCATCGTCATCATCGTCATCATCCTGGTCGTAATCGTCGTGGTCGTCGTCATCATCACAATCAGCATCATCATCATCAGCATCATCATCATCATCATCATCATCACCATCATCATCATCCTTATCATCCTTATCATCCTCATCACCATCAACATCATCATCATCAACATCAGCAGCATCAGCATCACCAACATCATCATCGGTATCATGTTGTTCACCCCTCGCGGGTACGGCCTCGGCTGCTCCCCCAAAAGAAAGGCTGCCGAGCATGCTGGACTGGCACGGTGGCGGGACTTGCCGCAGGCAGCAGGATTGCATGCCGCCCCCCCCCCAAAAAAAATAAGACACGTCAGAACACACCAAGTACCGAGAAGGACTCCCGGGATCCCACAACAAGGGCGATCTATACGCATGCAGCAGTCCCATGAAACCGTGGGGCATAGTCTGGGTCTGCGTGGAACACGACTCCGCTGGTCACCGCAGGAACGCACGAACGTGGCGACAGGGACAATGCCGCAAGGCGCTGATCCCCAGGAAGCCGCGAAATTTGGAATGAGGACTTCAAGCAAACGAGGAGGCCCCTCCCGGGGTCCAGACGCACCAGCGTTTCGAGCGGCGTCCAACCGTGGCGAGGACGGGGGCATCCGACAGCTTCCAAGCTTCGGACCTCGAACAGGCGAGGAGGCCCATCCAGGGGTCCAAAAGCACGAGGCTTTCGAGCCGCGCCCACCCGTGGCGACGAGGGAGACCGCCCGAAGCTAAGATGCGCCGTGCCTCGAAAAAGCGAGATGACCCCTCCCGGGGCCGAGAGGCACAAGTCTTTCGAGCCACGTCCTGGCGCGGCGTTGAGGGGAACCCCCGAACGCATAGAAGCGTCGTACTTTGAATAGCCGACGAGACCCCTCCCGCGGTCCAAACGCACCAGCCACGTTCAGCCGTGGCGAGGCCAGGGGACTCCGAAGCCAGAAACTCACACCTGTAACAAGCGAGGAGATGTCTCCCAAGGTCCAAACGCACCAATCTGTCGACCCGCGTCAAACCATGGCGACGGGAAAGGCCCCCGAAGGCGAAGAAACTGCAAACCTCGAACAGGTGAGGAGACACTTCTCGGGGTCCAGACGCATCTACCTGGTGCGTCCACGGGCCCTTTCCTCGAGAAGAGAAGAGAATCACACCCTGTCGCCCCCCCCTTCCCCGCTCCGAGGAGAAAGAAGAGTCGAGGGAGCGTGGGGGAGGAGGAGGTGCACCCTCTGGCCACCCCCCTCTCCCCGCCCCTGTCTCCCTGGCACCCTGGCACGGGAGAGGAACAGCACCCCCCCCCCCCCAGCCCCCCCACCCCGCACACGAAAGGGAAACTCCGAAGCCCAAGAAACACTCACACCTGGAACATGCGAGGAGACGTCTCCCAGGGTCCAGACGCACCAATCCGTCGAGCCGCGCCCAGCCGTGGCGACGAGGAGAGTCCCCGATTGCGAAAAGGCTGCAAACCTCGAGCAGGCGAGAAGACACCTCCCCGGGTTCATACGCATCCACCGTAGACACGCGAACGCAATTTGACAAGCCTCCCTCTCTTCATCCGTCTCTTCCTGCTCCACCTCGCCGTCGTCGTCGTCGTCGTCGTCGTCGTCGTCGTCGTCGTGGTCGTGGTGGTGGTGGTCGTCGTCGTCGTCCGCGTCCCCCATCTGCTCCTCCTGCTCCTCTTTTACTTGATGGGTC